CAAAGTATGTAGCCTAAATTATCAATAACAGTAAAATATTTTCATAATATATTTCATCACACATTTTTCTTTATTTCTGTTTGTAGCTTGCTATAGGTACGGCTACATAAAATCATATTTCAGAATCTCTAGAAAGTAAAGGTCTGGGGGATGGCAAATGGCATAGATACGTCCATTTGATGATATTAACTTCAAGGATCCATTTCAATAGAGTGAGTACTTAAGCCAATGAAAACTCCAACCTTTCTATACTTTAGTGAGCAGGTTTCTGAAACTGCCACAGTGGAAAATTCATCACCTGCTGGCCAAATCTGAATGATGAATCTTTTCAAAAAAGTTTTGTTGGTTCTCAGATTTTAGACCCTGATCGCCAAGTTTCTACTTGGTAGAACCATCAGGAATTGTGTTCTACTGGAACAGCCTTCAAGAATCTGGGGTGACAACCATACCACAATAGGCATCAGAAGAGCACTTCAAAGGAGGAAATGTTTATCAAATTACTTAAAAATTGTTCCTTTTTGATTTAAAGAAACAAATTTCCTTCTAAGTAGGATAACTGAGTTGTGCAGTTAACAGTTTAAACTAACTCAGCATTAAAAGTTTATCTAGAAATTGAGAGCTGGAAATAGTATTCAAAAAGAAAATATTCTAATTGCTAGAATCTTGACTTTTTACGTATCATCTAAAAGATAGTATTTGTACCCTGTGTAATATGTTTGGGTGTTATGTGGGTTGAGTCATTTCAGAAATGACTTAGTGTGAAGTATGTCACTGCTGAATCATAAATACTATTTACTTCAGTTTTCAATCATTTGCAAGATTCCTCTGCAGGTAGTAACTAGCCATCCTTTATTACTGGAAGACTGATGGGATCATACATTTAAAGACATGTACATACATGGTTTTTTCCTTAAGGACTGTGCAAAGGCAGTCACCATAGCAAAGGCTAATGGGCTCAACTCTACGGCTTTAAGTATGAAGCAACATATTTAAATAAAAAGAGCTATGAACTAAAAACTGGAAATTCAAATTTCTCACATCAAATACGCCAATATTTCAAGGATATGTACAGTCTAAGTATTTCATTGCCCCCCTACCTCTCAGTTGGGGGAGAGGGGTTCTTAATCTGAGGTCTACAAACTTGTTTTTGAAAATGTTGTAATAACTTTGTCAGTATAATTTGTTTCTTCTGTACTCCTATGTGCTCTATTTTATGCATTTAAAAATATTGTGAGTTAAGCATAGGCTTCATCGGATTACCAAAGAGGTCCACAGCATAAAAAAGGTAAAGAAATACTGATGTAAGTGGTCTTTAAAGGTTGTATGGCTAAAAAATTCATTACCTTATCACCAACTGGGGGACAAGTCTTTCTGAACTTAGGCTGTTCCTCAGATAGCAATCTATCATAGAACTTGTACTCAAAGCACTTCCAGTTTTGGACTGCCACGGTTTACAATCTACTGGCATAATCTTTCAGAATCTAGTTATCTATATGTACAAAAATATTTGTAGCAGTTCTTTCTTGGAGTGTTAAAGAAGTAAGAGAATGACCAACTGGAGAACGGCTAAAGAAGTTAGGCTATATGAATGCTATAACACTGTACTATAAAAGTAATGAAAGGCATTGTTTAAGAGAAAAACTAAGACTTGCTCTTTTGAGAAGTGATTTAGAGTGAACACAACCAACAGAACAATTTTTACAACAAAAATAACAATGTAAAGACAAACAATTGTGAAAGAGTTAAGAACTCTGATCAATGCAATAATGGATCACGATTCTAGGGTACAAATAATGATGTATACTACACATCCTCTGACACAAAATTGCAATAGACTTAGGGAGTCAAATTAGACATAATTCTGAACATGATTAGAGGGAAGAATTTGTTTTGCATGAGTAAGGGTTTTGTTTTTATTTTTTTCGAATTGGGTAGAGGTAGAAAGGGAGAAAAAATAAATGCTTGGTCATGGAAAAAAAAAACTACTATGCAAAAGCCTTCCCAAAACCAAAATAACAAAGAAACCAAAACCCAGGGTCACCTACAGGCCATAATCAGGGTAGATGTTTAGTGGAGGTTTCAATACATGATGAAATTATTATTCTCTATCCAGATCATCTTTTGGTTAATAGAAAAATAGCAAAATATTTACCTTACTTTAACACAGGAAAAAAAACTACAAAGAAATGTAGTAAACATCTTAATTTGAGGGTCTGATGACAACAGCTCTATTGCTTTACAAGGAGTCCACAGTAAAGGAAGCAAAGTAACAGAACCACTTTCCTATAGCAGATATTTAATGTTGTAAATAGTTCATAGCATCATAGATTTTGAGCTGGAAAGGACTTTTAAGAAACCCAGCCTAAGCCCCCTCCCCCCACCCTATTTTACAGATAAAGAAACTAAGGCCCAGAGAGGACAAGTGATTTGTCTAAAGTCAAAAAAGCTGTAAATGGCAAAGCCACAATTTTTATCCAGACTTTTTTTAAAACTATAAATCCAGCTCTCTTTCTATTACTACACCATCCCTACATTCTTATCTAAAGCTCCTCTTCATGCCCTCCATCCTTTCCCCACTAACCTTAGTATTGCCAATCATTTGGTCAGCTCCTCCGTACTTCATGCTCAAACTCCAGCATATGCATACATACAAACACATACATGCACCTCTTGCTTCCTGCTCTCAGTGGTAGTAGGTGAGATGGTCAGAAGAGACCAAGGGACAAGATGTTCAAAATCTCCACGTTTGACATACAGACGAGGTCCTGCCTCCACCAAAGAGTAAGACTCTTGGGCCTCTCTTTCCCTCCCTCTGACTGGGCAGACAGCCGGGAGCTCTTCCCGCATGCACTACTTAAGGAAGGAACCCAGGGCAGGCAACTCATCAGCTCCTACCTGGTTGTAGGATTTCAAGGCCCTCACCTGTCAGCTTCTTTTTAATGTTATCGTTCCCCATCAGATCGGGGGCTCCTTGAGAGCAGGTACAGTTTTTTGCTTTTCTTTGTGTTCCCAGCACTTAGTGCAGTGCCTGGCACAAAGCAGATACTTTATAAATGTCCACTGATTGACCTACTTCCTCAGCTTCCTATCTACAGCACTTTGGGACATTCTCTTCTTGATGCTAAAGTTTTTTGGCCTGTTCCAGAGCGCAGGTGGACCTGAGGTTACAAAAGAAGGCTCCCTATGGCTATGGTTCCTTTCATGCTAGGAAATTTATTAACAATTTTTAGAAAATAAAATTTTTCAAAGATTTCCCTATGAGCCAACAAACAGTATATTACTTACAGTGTGTGAATTATGAGAGAATTTGGAGAGTGAGGTTGTATTTTTCAAAAGCAATAGAAACTTTCTAGTTACCTTTTAACAGCAAACTTGCCAGAAAGGGCTATGCTTATGAAGAAATCATTCCATTTTCTTTTGTCTCATTGTAAAGATTAACTATCCTCAAAGGTTAGTAGTAATCAAAAATTTTATTTCATTTGTGTGCGCATACATACATTGTGATCATATATGTGGGACAGGAAAGGAACCTAGAAGTCACCCTATCCAACCCCTTTATTTTATAGATGGAGAAACTGGACCTCAGAAAAGTTAAATGACTTGTCCAAAGTCAAATATCTAAGGAGTAGGAAAGCCTAGACTGAAACCCAAGGCCTCTCCCTCCAAATCCAGCATTCTTTCCACTCTTTCATTTATTGATAAAGCATGTTTACTTTATATGAAACTTTTATGTAAAAAGATATTTTTGTAAAGTCAAAAGGACATTAATTGCCATGATAATTTTCTGTGCGTGTATCCTAAGGCTCTCTGGACCCTCTTCTCTGCTCTCTCTATGCATTCTCACTTGGTAATTTCATCAGTGCTCATGGATTTCATTACTATCTCTATGAAGGTGACTCCCAGATCTATATATGCAGGCCTTATCTCTCTCCTGAGTTCCAAATAGGTACCTCCAATTGTCTATTGGATGCTTCCACCATGGGAAAATCCAGGTCCCAAAGTAATCTCATTATATTTCTGCAAAAGCCCACAACTCTTCCAAATGTCCCTATTATTTTCAGGGTCATCAGCATCCTTTCCATGTCCCAAACCTCAGAATCACCCTCAACTCCTCATTTTCCCTCATGCCACACATTTAATCAGCTGCCTAGTTGTGTCCTTTCTACTAACATAATCTTTCTCAAATTTGTCTCCTCTCTGCTCTGGGTTACCACTCTAGTTCAGGTTCTTATCACCTAGTCTGGAATATTGCAAACCTTTCACTGGACTTTCTATTTCAAGCCTCTCACCTCTCTCTAATCCATCCTCCACAGAACTGTCAATGAGATTTTTCTAAGAGGTAAGTCTGATCATGTTACTCCCCTACTCAACCCTCCATTGGCTCTCTTCCATCCAGTATCAAATCTGAACTCTTATTTGGCATTTGAAGATACTGACAACCTGACCCCAACAGCCCTTTCCAGAATTACACATTACTTCCTTTCCTACCTTCTGACCTTTGCCCTCTATGGACTAGCCAAACTGGTCTTCTTGTGGTTCCTCATGTATGACACTCCATCTTCTATCTCCACAAATTTTCACCAGTTGTCCTCCATGTATGGAATGCACTCTTTTTTCTACTTTTGCTTCTCAGAATTCCTTGTTTCCTTCAAGTTCACTCAAATGCCACCTTTACAAGAAGGCTTTCTTGATTTCCTTTCTCCTAGCCCCGCTCCCCCACCATTCACTTTATATTTATTTTGTATATGTAAATTATGTCCCCCAATAGAATGTAAGTTCTTTAGGGCAGTGACCATTTCATTTTTGTCTTTGTATGCCCAATGCCTAGCATAGTTCCTGGTACATAATAGTAGGTGCTTAATAAGTTCATTTCTTATTTATAGGGGAGTTTCAAGTAAAGAAAAGGACAGTTCTCAAACTACCTGAATTTTTACAACACTTTCATTTGAAAATATTTTGAAAACATTTCTGAAGTTGATATTAAATAACTCATTTCTTACCCTATTGTTGGATTGATGTTTGGATCAAAACTGTCTTCTACAAACCGCCATACAATACTTGATTTACCTACACCTGTATCCTGAAAAATAAGGATTTTGTGAGTGAATATTTAGTTATTACACTAATAATCATCTTTTTGGTGAAATTTTAAGATTTCTGATAAAAAAAAAAACTTCACAAGTGTATATACCAAGGAAATGTTCATAAAAACTCAGTGAAACAAATAGGAAATTCCAAGATATTTAAAAAGGGAGATTTTGTGTAGTCCAGAGGCGGGGAACCTTCCGCCTCGAGGTCTAGGGCCTCAAGCGCAGCCCTCTGACTGAATCAGGGCCACACATGTGACCTCGAGGCGGAAGGTTCCCTACGCCGGTGCAGTCCATAAATGACAAGATTTTAAGGAAATAAGCATTTGTTCAAAAACTGAAATATTTTTTATGAGTGAAAAATAAGATAAGCAAATCAAGAGCTCCAGAAGCAATTTTGAGTAAGTTTTGACTATTCCCAACCATACTCTACTTAGTAAAGGATTAGATATACAACATGTACAAAATCTTTTAGGGACAACTCAAAAGATCCCAAATACCTCCTTTCGGGCTGTGGATGGTATACTTCAAACTGCAAATGTGACCAAAAGAGACAGGAAGCTTAAGTTTAAGCATCAATTCTGGGTTTCCTGATAAGATAGCAATCACATTTTAAACCGTGAATCTTCACTTTTTTTTTGCACATTAAATCTGTAATTTCAGAAATGCATTCCACAGCCATAAGTTTACTTAAAAAAAATAGGCCAAAAAAGTTGAACAATTTGTAAACAGGTAACTTCCTATCGCTTGCATTTTGTTAAGATTTAATGCACTAATCCTAAGATTAAGTTGTTTGGGGAAGTTAATTAAAAAAAAATTTTCCAGAACAACCAAAGAGGTAGGTACTATATATAGATAAATAAGATGGTGGGAAGTCATGAAAAGGCGTGATGAGATTCCTTCTCAAGGTGACTAGAATAGGTGGGAAGGCACGGTTTTCACTTTCTTAATGAGAGTTCAGAAAAACGGAAGACGGAGATAGTGTTTCATTTCTTACCACGGCTAGATGAGATAGTATTTGTAAAGCACTTACTACAGTGCCTGTCACATTCAAGGCACTTAATAAATGCTTGTTAAAAGTTTAAAAAAAAAAGAAAAAGAAAATCCAAGCGGGAGGGAAAGTATAGGAGGTGGAAGGGAATGGAGTAAGATGGCATGTATAAGGGCTGGCAGGCAATGGGGCAGGTGAGTGACAGTGGGAGGTTCAGAGAAAATGAAGTGGGGGGGGAAGGGGGAGGCTACCAGGTGCCCGGGAGGCAGCCAAGTCTCCAGAACAGGCAGCGGCTCAGGGGCCCCGGGGGGCGTCCGGGGGTTTGGTCCTCCCCGGGCGCGCCGTGAGGTAGAAGAGGCCCAAAGAGCGGAGGCCGGGCCGGGATGGAGGGGAGGGACAAGCAGGCCTGCCTCCCGCCCATCCCACAGCCCTCCCGGCGGGGCGAGGGGACCACTTACCCCCAGCAGACAAACTTTCAGCTCTCTCAGCGCCATGTCCGGAGAGCCTGGCCTGCCGCCGCCGCTGCCACCGCCCTAAGGAGGAGAGGGAGTGCCCCGGCCCAGCACGAACATCCCCCGGCCAACTAGGCTCCAGCCCCCGGCAGTGGGGGAGAGGCGGCGTCGGGAGGCCCTGAACGCCCTCCCCGCCGCCGCCCCGCTGGGGCCTCTTCAGGCTGGTGCCGCCGCCGCCGCTGTCCCGCGTGAGATGGCCTCTCTTCCCGCCGGGGAGCCAGCCGCCCGCCTTAGCAGCTAGAGCCGCAGCCGTGCCGGCCGCGTCGCCACCGAGGAACCGCTGCCGCCGCCATCTTGGGGAGCCCGGCGGGTCACCTGACCTGCCCTCCCACCTCGGGAGCCACCTTCGCCTGCAGGGAGGGGGGAGGAGGCGGGCGTGGGACGCCGCTTTTCCCAAATTTCCGCAAGCTCCAGGCCGGGAGGAGCCCCCCCGAGGCTTCCTCGTCACTCCTCCCCCTCAGCCCCAGCCCGGTGGCCCGCGTGCGGAGGCGGGGCGAGGGGGATGGGTCGGGAGGAGTCGGCCGCTCCTCCCCTCTGGCCGGCTCGCCCAGTGGGTCTCCCTCCCTCTCCACCCGCCCCCGGCCCCGCTTCCTTCAGGCCCATTTCAAGATGGCGGGTGAGTGGAGCTGAGACTCCTTTGGCAGCAGCTGTTGCTGCTTCTTCCTCCTCCTCCTCCTCCTCCCCCTTTTCCTCCTTCTCTTCCTTCTTCTCCTTCTTCTCCTCCTCCTTTTCCTCCTTCTCCCCCTCCTCGTCCTCCTGCTCTTCCACCCTCCTCCTCCAGCCTCCCGCTCGGTTCGGGCGGGCTAGGCTCCTGCCGCAGCCCCGGCCGACCCGGATCCAGCCGTCCCCGGGGTCCCCCTCCTGCCCTTTCCCGGCCCTGCTCCCGGTGCTCCCCGCGCCGCTGGTGATCTCTTATCTCTCTTGGTTTTCAGAGATCCCCTTGTATTTTGTGGACTTGCAGGATGACTTAGATGATTGTAAGTAACAGTTCTGGCTTCCTCCCCTCCCTCGTCCTCCTCCTCGTCGTCCCTTGGCCCTCGGAGGGCCCCTCCCTCCGCGCTGCCCTCCCTGCAGTTTTGGGGGTGAGGGTAAGGCCAACCTCCTCTTTCTCCATCCTCCCCTACTCCACTTGTATTGTGATGGTGACAGTTTCTCGGTTTATGGAAGTGACGGGCTTCTCACTCCTGTCTGGGTCCTCTTTGGACATGGGGGTTTGGGGGAGGGGCGTGCACCGGGAGAGGAGGGGTGTCTCTTCGCAACCATTTTGGGGAGTGGGCACGCTTCCTGCATTCTCCCAAAAGCGGAATGGGCGGTGATGGGGGGACGCCTTGTGCCACCTTGTCCAGCTTGGGGGGGGCATGGGTGTCTGCGTGCAGATATCAGAATAGTTCTAACTCCGAGTTTATTTAGATGGGGGGGATGGGGTGAGGAGGGGGAGTCTTCGATTTCTTGAAGGATTCCTTGTTTCTTCTGATAGGAGGGTGGTTTGAATTGCCTTAGGTTTTTTTTTTCCCCCGTGGGACCTTTGAAAGAGTTGACCCACAGTAATGTACGAGTGTGACTGAATGAGGAGTTTCAGTACTGGCAAAGTAATTAGTGATTTATAAAAGTGGCTCTTGAGAGAAAGCTTGATACTGTGGAATTAGTGCTGGTTGTTGTAGTCAGAGTTTCAAATTATGCCTTAGTTACTGATTTATCCCTGTGATCCTAGGCAAGTCACTTTTCTTTGCGACTGGATTTCCTCGTCTGTAAAATAATGGGGTTGGACTATGTGGCTCTTAAGAACTCATCTGTAGCTATAAGATCCTCTGATTTGGATTGTTTTTGATTTCTTCATGCTTGTTACTTATGGATCCCTTCCTAAGGAGAGAGATTTTTTTTTTAAGTAAAATCATTTTAAAGGCAGGTATTGAATTAGATTCTTTGTTGGGAAATTTGTCACTCTTGTTTTATAAGGAATTGGGACTGTTTCATTCCATGCAGAATGGACAGGTGAAAAAAACATTAAATGTCATTGGCATCATTAAAAATTGTTTCCTTTAAGAAATACACACATTTAGGGGCAGCTAGGTGGCAGTGGATAGAGCTCCAGCGTTGGAGTCAGGAGACCCTGAGTTCAAATGTGACCTGATAACATTTGACACTTACTAGCTGTGTGACCCTGAGCAAGTCACTTAACCCCGATTGCCTCACCAAAAAAGCAAAAAAAAAAAAAAGAAAGAAACACATTATCTTCTCTGATAATACTCCATTATATCTTTAAGGACCATATTCTATATTTTATATTTTGGGTATGCATGGAATGAAGAGGAGTTACTTTACAAGAGTAAAAAAAATGGTTTTTGTTGGCCTTCCTCATGGGTCCTTTTAAAAACATTTCTACCACTTATTAATGGTAGAAACTAGGTATCCAAGATTTAAAAATCAGTGTTGGTAAAGAAGACAAGTAAAGAGAAACTTATAAGACAAGGTTACATTTGTAAGGAGGTGGGATAATTTTGTTTTGGTCCTATATATGTGCTTTTTAGCTGTTTGCAATTAATTGGGTGCAGTGGTGTACCTTTTGACTTAAATTTGGAGCTTCTAATAGGTGTTTACTAAATATTTGTTGATAATATTTGAGATTTTATTTTCTTAGTTTTTATTTTATTAGTCTTAGTCAAATTTGACTTTTTTAGTAGCATGAAGCATGATGACTTACCCTTTAAGTCAGTCATATTAGAAAAGTGTTTTTTAAATGAGCTAGCATACTAAATCTAAGTTCCTTTCTTTAAAGTAGCTGGTATAGAGGTAGCTTTATATCTAGCACCATATTTGGTTTTATATAGGTTAAATGGAGCTTCCACCCTGGTAGCTTTTGAATGCTAAAAACATCCTGGTCATGATAAAGGTGTTAATGCAATTGGTAGACTAGAGCTTTGTGCTGTGGTCTTAAAAAGATGCCCTCTGAAAGATTTTTTTGTGAAGATTCAGAATTTAAATTTGTCTCCAAGATGTTTTGTGTATATATACGTTTTATTTTATATACCTATGTTTGGAGATAATTCTGAAATCTTGGATTCAGACCCTAACATTTGCAAACTTATGTAAAGATGACACTGTAATTCTAAATGATTCATGGCAGGGCTGTAAAATTTTTGGAGATAGCTTATGATGAAGTTTATAATTTGTTTTACATGATTGGAGCTATAACTGCCCATGTTGCTAAGCATGAAAAGTGATTGTGCCTACAGTAATAATATCCAGAATCAGGACACAGATTTAAAATTAGGATTAGATAATGCTTAGTATATGAAATTATAAAATCATAGAATTTCAGAAGTAAGAATCATACCCAAATAAAATGAACTTTGTGAACAAAACATTCTAATTTAACTGTTTGCTCCCAGGTTGGCACTAAATTGTCAGAATTTTTTTTGGTTAATTTTATTAATTTATTTTGATTTATCAATGATCACTTCCATATGCTTTTGAGTTTAGAATTTTTCTCTCCCTTCCTCCCCACCACCCTTCCCAAGATGGCATACAATCTGATATAGGCTGTACATTTACATTCCTATTAAACATATTTTCACATTAGTGATGTTGTATGTAAAAATTAAAACCAATAGGAGGAACCATCAGAAAGAGGAAACAAAACTCAACAGAGAAAAAAAATAGCAATTCAACTTTCATAGTTATTTCTTTGAATGTGGATAGCATTTTCTGCCAGGAGGCCTCTGGATATGTCTTAGATCCTTGTATTGCTGAGAGGGGTTAAGTTTATCAATATTAGTCATCACACAAAGTGGCTGTTATTGTGTACAACATTCTCTTGGTTCTTCTCATTCCACTCAGCATCAGACCATACAAGTCTTTCCATGTTTTTCTGAAGTCAGCCTGTTCATCATTTCTTATAGCACAATAGTATTCCATTACATTCATGTACTACAACTTGCTCAGCCATTCCCCAATTGATGGGCATCCTCTCAATTTCCAATTCTTTGCCACCACAAAAAGAGCTGCTATGAATATTTTTGTACATGTGGGTCGTTTTCCCATTTGTATGATCTCTTTGGGATATAGCCCTAGAAGTGCTATTGCTGGATCAAAGGGTATGCACATTTTTATAGCTCTTTGGGCATAGTTCCAAATTGTTCTCCAAAATGGTTGGATGATTTCACAACTCCACCAACAATGCATTAGTGTTTCATAAATTGTCAGAATCTTAAAGTAAATGATGAAGAAGATGGTTTCAGAAAAACCTAGGAAGACTTGTATAAACTGATGTATAGCGAAGTGAACAGAACCAAAACAGATTACACAGTAAGAGCAAAATTGTAAAGATAAATCAACTGTGGGAGACTTAGTAACTGATCAGCACAGTGACCCACCACAATTCCAAAGGACTCATGATGAAAGATGCTATCCATCTCCAGATAGAAAACTTATGGACTCAGAGTACAGAATGAAGCATTTTTTTCCCCTCTTTTTCTTGTTCTTCCCCACCCTACCCCCACCCCCCCAACCCCCATGGAAATTTGCTTTTTGTGACTTCCTATTTGCAATGGATTTTCTATTTCTTGTTTTCTCAATTGGTGGAGGGAGAGAATTTGGAACCAAAAATAAAATAAAATTGAATTAAAAAAAAACAAGAAAAAAGAATCTTAAAGAAACAGATTTGACAAATCTATTTTGAATTTCCATTCCATGACTTTTTACAAATGAAGAGAAGCTCTCTTCTCTGAACTAGTGTTTTAGACATTCCAGGTGGTTCTTTATTATTGAACAAACATAGTGCGTTTTATATATAAAGAACTATAATTGATGACATTTACAGTGTAATGAGGAACATGTCAAGACACATACATAAATAAATGATACAAGGGAAGGTATGTTAAATGTACAGGAGAGGTCCAAGCAAAGTGCTGTGAGAAATGTGATAAGAGAAAAATTATGTGGAGCAGAAAAGGAAGTGTTCATGGAGAAGGCAGCATCAGGGAGAGGACTGGACTAGAGCAGCTGAAACATCTGGAAATGGATGGTAGATGTTAGGATCCCTCAAGTCTCTAACGCTAGAGAAGTGCTTGGAAAAAAAAAAAGGAAGGCCAGAGGGTGTTTTCACAGATGCAGTTGTCACCCACCTTGTTATATTGTCATCACTGCTCAGCCCCTTGATGTCCTTCATACCTAAGAACACAAGTGCTTCCCATACGTGAAACTTTTCCCAAAGGTAGGAGCAACCCAGGGAGACACAGTTCTGTAGGGAAAGCCATCCCATGTAGGGAAAGTGTAGGAAACGGTAATGAGATACCCAGAACTCCTCTGTTGTCACACAGCAGTCTAACCTGGCTTTGCTTCCCTTTTTTCAGCAAAATTAGCTCTGTAGCCGCAGTATAAGGGCAAATTCAGTTAAACCAGTGCAGAGGCCTTGGTTCTCTTAGCTTTTATATGTTGCCTACATGCAATCTCAGAAAAGAAGCAAGTCTGTGCCTTCTTAGAACTGTTTATAAGTCACCACTGAGTTCCTGCTTCAACAACTTCAACAACTCCTTTTGTGATCCTAGTAAAAATGGTATGAGCAAAGAAGCAGACAGAGTAGAGTCTAGATTGAGAATGAAGGAAAGACCAAGTAGTCCATTTTGTCTGGAACATAAGAGTATGTGAAAGGAGTGGTTTGACATAAGGCTGAAAAGAAAGGTTGGGGTCAGATTGTGGAAGACCTTGAATCAAGATTAGAATATTTTATTTAATATTCTGTGATGAGCTAATTAGTTTTTGAGAGATGTGATCAAAGTGTTGCATTATGAAGAATATAATCATTTATTTCAAAGACTTTGAATAGGAAATAGATTGAAGATAGGAAAAACAGAAGGCATTTACTTGTAGTTTAGGCATGAAGAGGTAAGTAGTCATAGTGAGTCTGGAAGGGAGATTGCATGCAGTTGCAGGTGGTAAAATCAATTGTACTTGACAAATGATTAGATGTAAGTAGGAG